TACACGATCACTTCTCCGTATACACTCCGACCAAAGTATGCGAAAATTTTCCAACACGTGCGAGACTAAGTCGCAGCAGGGGAATGGGCGCTGAGATAGATTGTGGAGGAAATCGAAAGCATTACAGCGTCGAGAAGCGCACACGCTCCATTTCGCACGCAACTCAAATATTCAAATTTAATGAACACCCAAGTGAAAGTCACGCATACATACATACATACATACGTACACTCTAGCAGACACATACATACGCATGCAAGCAAATTTGCACTTGAGAGGGTGACACTGCATTGCGCTGGCAATAAGTAGATACAATAACAACAACAATATCAAACAAAGGCAATAATGTGCATGTACACATGTGTGTATGTATGTATGTATGTATGCATGTATGTAGATAAGAGGACGGAAAGCTTTAGCGACTGTTGCTCCATAGCAATAATACGCAGTTGGAAGAGCATTAAAACCAACACAATGACAACAGCATGAAAATACATGCACATACAAACAAACATGGATACCCTGCAGGCAGTGAAGTTACTTTAAAACTAACTTTAATCTGTTTAAATTTTTTTCAGAAAAAAGCTAACCACTTTTGTGGGGCGATGGCCAAGAAAAGTCAGACTTGGGTATTCCTGCAGTAGGTGCCAACCAACTTGTAACTAACTACTTTTCGACATGAAATATTTACGTGATTTTTACGTATTTATTTAATTACTTTATTTAACATTAAGACATAACATACAAATGATAATACATATAAAATTGCGATCTTGATTTTATTTGTCCTGAATTCGAAAAATTATCTGTGAAGTGCACAAACAAAGTGTATTCAAAGTCATTTTTGAACGAGGGTATTTGAATGGAAACTTCTTTAAAGAAAACAAACTACCGATTACGTCTGCTAAGTCCTGCATGAATTTATAGCTCACCTTAAGTTGGTTTTGTCATAGCGCATTAAAAGTGAGGTATCACTACAATTAGCTATTTTTATCAATTGATAATTTTTCACTGCCGGGTATGTAGTGGCATATATATATGTATGTATGTATGTACTTAGGTATGCATATACCCATCTTTACTTAAATGTTTGTATTATTGCATTTAGGTGCGTTGTGCTGTCAAGTGTCATGACGCGTGGTGTGCGAAAAACAAAACGACAAATTCATGCACTTACGCCCAAACCCTTGGCTATATACACCCATACAATAAACATACCTACAACATAGATTTTGCATGCCCCTGCAAACATGCTTCGTACACTTGTTAGTACTACATACATAAATACTTGCTGTAGTACAAATTTACTCGCACGTGATTGTTAGCAGGTTGGTGAATGACAACATTCTAGCTCACGTGCCGCTGCTGTAGATGCATACAAACAAAAGAAAAAAGATATATACATACATACATATGTATGTACATCTGTATGGTGGCTACGTTGGAAAATCCATTGGAAGAAAATCCATATCTCCAACTTGAACTAGTAACTTCCATAGATTGGCAGAGATTTTCGCATTAAGCGCAATTGGTGCAGAAGTTATTATTATTTGTTGAAAAGGAGATATGGGATAAATGGACTTATTTTAATTCGCAGAAATGAATGCTAGACAACAAATTGCGTATATAGGCATACATAGGCAGAACTTCATAAGCAAGTGATGATGATTTGGGTGAAACGTGTTCTCGTTTTTTTACGTTACGGAGTTCTGCCTGCGCTGCCCATGCCTGATGTATCTATATGCAAAAGTAATGAAAGTAAAAATAGGAGAACACGTTTCATCTTCATCCCCATCTACATCTCATCTTCATCCCCATCTATATTCATCTATACTTTTATATTTTTCTTTGACTTCATCGTTTCCTTCAACTTGGTCTTTTTCTTTTGCCGTCCCACAGTGGTCCGAATCCCAAATTTAAGTTGACAAAAGTTGGAAAATCAGACTCTTTAAATATTTTTTTTTTTTTTGTATTTTTATGTTTGCTTATATCTCGTGGATCTGGTTTTCTAAGATTTGACCACTATAATAGTTTAATATGGCTGTATCAGTGCTTCAAGCGACAAACACTCACGCATAGTTGATGGTGGCTTGAAAAGTTAATAACTTATATCGATATCTGGGCCCAAAATATATTACTCATTCACAAAAGTAATAAATATTTACTAACGGTTTAGCTTTCGCCTGAACTATATCCACCCAACTCTTAGCCTTCAGGAGCACTGGAAATAAGTTAAAGAAAGTAAAATCCTTTAGGAAATGGCACAATTTCTCACCGGGCAGGTGCCTTCACCAGAAGTTTGTAATATTTACGTGAATGTTGGCCCGCTTTTGGTAAGCCGGGTAAGCATGCGTTTATATTGTAAGCCAAAAGCACTTAGAGACTTGACAGTGCAAATTGTTTCAGTTGTCGCTGTTGACAATATTTCATTGCTGACAATTTAAAAATTATTTCATGTGACACAGACGTGTGATAAACGGGGGACATGTGTGTGTAGATAAATATGCAAATGTAGGAGGTCACATAAATTAGGAAGAATTTAAGATTTAATTTAAAAATTTTGGAGACTAAATTTGTTTTGAATAATAATACAAAAGTACGTATAACTAAAACTACTCGAAACCGTAGGATTGCTCTCCACCCTATCTTATTTATCAGGCAAAGTAGCCTTTATCGCTTAGTCCTAAAGAAAAGATAAAGGGGAAGAGTAATTTCTTCTTTTTATGGATTTCAGCACTAAATATTTCAAAAGGAAGAGCTTAAAGGCGTATGTAAAACATTTTGAATCTTCATCATCATTTAGGCATTATGAGCATAGTGGGTTGTCGATGATGTCTATTAAAACCATTAGACTTTGCTATGGATTTTTCCTGGTAATCAAACCTAATTCTGCACCTTATTTGTTTAAGAAGCAATTTCTATACTGTCAGGTATACTGTTTTTAGAAAACACTTGTTTATGAGTTTTGCTTATAAGATCGCTCAACACAATTTGTCAGCCCATTCGTTGTCTTGAGGTCCAGATTTTCCCGGTACTCACCTCAGCCTCAACTTAAATTCCTTTTCAAAACTTAGCAATGATTTTCCGGGCTTTTGATGCTGCTTGGCTGTCACTGCTGCCTCAGATTTGGTGTTCGCCACCGGTACGAAAAAAAAAAAACAATTCTCATTATTTTTGAAGCAAGGAACCACCTAGGCTTAGGCACCAGACGCCAACGGGCTGCAGAACTATTTCAGAGCCGTTAGAGACGTCAGTAGAAAAAAAATTTAAGCGATCGCTCAAGAAAGTGGCGAGATCCCTTCATTGTTCTTCCATAGACAATCTGCCGTCGTACGTTATTTTAAGGGCAACACTAGGTATAAGCTAGTCATTTGAGGCCATATTTCTTATTCATATTTTGTCCTGACAATTTTCTAAATTACTCTTCATAACCATTGCTTCGATTGTCGCGACAAAGTGCCAAAATAAAACAGTCAACATATTATTTTTCACGGGAAATGTACAGTTATTTTGAAGCCATATGTTTGACTATGTTGCTACGCTAGCCCTAGATCTCAAGTCTTACTAAACGCTCTCCGATACTGTCTGAAAACATTCAGTTATCTCTTTGCCTTCAACTCGAATTGGATTTTCCACGTGTTTAGCTGAGGAAGAGCGAGTGACTAGGTTCGGAGTTAGAGGCCGTAGCGATTACCTTATATAACGTGAGTATGTATGCAGCTGAATGAGCCTATGTAGTAGTTTAAAGGCACACATCAGCTCAACTAAGCGCTTCACAATTACAGCTATAGAGGTGCCACCACTCTGGGAATAGAGTGTGAGCGATGCGTCAACCATGGTTGGGAATGTCAGCGACTATTAGTTCAATGAGTTTAGCAAAGAGATATTTGAGAATTGCATAAAAAATGCATATCCCTTTAAGCACGAGCGATTCGTTTTTAAACACAACTGCGTTTACTTAACCGAAAAGGGTAAGTTAATTGATAAATTTCAGCATTATCAAACTTCGAATATATAGGAAGGCTTCCTTCCACAAATAATCGAAAACAAACGAAAAATCGATAATTGTTGATATAAATTTGGTTTTTCGGCGATTTCGACATTGTTCTCAGTTTCAGCTGAAATTCCGATACGATTCTCAATTCGGCCATACAAGATACTGAATTTCAGCGAAATTGAGACGAAATTGCCTAAACTTTGCGAATACAACTCTAAAAATTGCTTATTGTGAATTATAAATGGGCAAAAAGAAGAACCGCTCATCAATAATAAGTAAATGAAAACAGAACAAACAAACTGAGCAAAAAAGCAACAACCAAATAAACAAACTGTCATCGAAATTGAGATTGAAATTGAGATGGTCGTTTAAACACCTACAATTTCAATTTGGAATTGAGCGTTGAGATTGCGAAAGTTTGCCGGCGTGGAAACGCCCTTTAAAAATTGTTTAGGATTAATGACTTTTCATGATTTTAAGAACATTAGCTAAAGACGAAGCAAATAATGTAAATACATCGATACAGATTTAAATTTTCCGCTGGAATAAACGATGCCATCAAAGAAAAAACCAATTCGGCAAGAAAAATGTCGATGAAACGATATACAGTCGTCGAAAGAAAAAAAATGTTTTAAAACTTATTCAAAAAGAAACACATAGCTGATTGATCAATCAAGTTTTGAAAAATATAACGATTGAAAAAACAAGAGAATGTTATAAATGGTTCTAGAAATTATAGACCCCCAATACTTCAAGAAGAAGCAAATAATGAAAAACACATCGATTCAAGTTCAGATGCTTTGCTGGAACGGGCGATGTCAACAGAAAACAAAAAAAATCGGTATGTAAAGAAAAAGGCGATTAATTGATTAAAAATTATCGAAACAAAATTCTGCGGTAAAAAATTGGAAAGTAGTAGTTAAGTGAATGTTGGTGGTGTTATGATATCGTTTGTTGACCCAAAGAATCAAAGATATATTTTTTTTTTTATCTTTTCACTTACCTTCGGGCAGTGGCAGCACGCGCATATTCTCACGTTGCATGGCAGCCGTTGTCGATGTCAGCAGACAACCGAAATTATTTAAGGCGATAATGGCGACAAAACACACCAACACACTTAGCTGACGACAACGTTTGCCAAACGTTTTCCTTGTTGGTAACGTCGTCGTTGATGTTGTTGCAGCTAATGTGGTGTTATTGTTGTTGCTGTTGTTGTTTTTCGCGCTTATCGCCATGCCTGTTGCGTTAATTCTACGTTTCATCATTGTGGTTGTTGTTACTCTGGTTGTAGCGATGTTATTGTTATTGTTGTTAGTGTTGCTGATTTGCCGGCATCGCTTGCCCGTAGGCGGATGCATTGCGGCCACGTGCGGTACGTCCGCGAGGTGATATTATGCGCACGCGCCCGAGACCCGCTACGCAATTTTTGCGAATTTTTCAAACACAATTCCCGAAATAGTGAGAGGACGATTTACAGAAGCACACGCGTACAAATTAAAAAAGTAAGTGAATTTAAATCGAATTTGCACGATGTTAGGGTACGCACGTGAATTCAACGAAGTTACGCTAACCGACGCAAAACTGACGCGCTTACGATTTTCGTCGACGATACGCGTTTAAATGCTTTATTTGGATGGGTTTGATTTTAAACAGACATTGATGCACTTATTTCTTCTTAGTTTCACGAAGCTGCTACTTTTTTTATAAAATTTTACATGTATTTTTTTTTTAATTTACACCAATTAAAACTTATTAGCTAAAATTGCACATACACACTGAAAGAAAATGAAAAAAATAATTTACATATTAGATTAGAATACAGTTTATAAAATTTCATTGATACTACACTTTGAATAGCATGTTTTTCGAATTTTGTAGGCAGTCAGAAAAAAGTGGAAATTATTAAGCATTTCTCGATTACAAATTTGCACAAACTTTTTCTGACAAAATGTCAGCTCAGTTTGGATTAAGTATTCGATATTGAGAATTTCGATTTTATTTGCGTATCTATAATTAGAAGTTCGTTTGTTGTGGCAGTGGGAAAAATTTGCAGCGGCATGCTGAAAAGAGAAAGGGAGAAAGACATATTACAAATTTAGAATTTCAATAAATTACAAATTTTCTGTGAAAATAGTTTATATGTAGATTGTATAAGTATAAGTGTATACGCATAGAGCAAGCCTACACTTTTTTTGTATTTTTAATAGTTTTGAAAAAAAAGCTAAGTATGGTGACCCTGTTTAGAAATTGTGACCCATATTCAGTGTTGCCAGAAGTGGAGATTTATCTTCAAAGCGAAGATATTTTTCATAAATAATCAGAAAAATCTTCACAAGAAGATAATTACAACTAAAAATAACTCCATACAAAAAATCTTCACAGTGAAGATATCTGGCGGCACTTGAATTTTTATTTTTTTAAAGTTGGCAACAAAATTTTTTCGTTTTTTCATCAATTTACTGCTGCAAATGCGAAAGTACGCCAGCTAGAATTCTATTGTCAAATATGGATAAGAAAAAATTAAACGTTGAACTACGCGCACTGTATACACCGTGGTTTTTGGTAGTTGGCACTGGTAGGTGACAACAAACTTTTCGTTTTTGTCATAAATTTACCTTGCAGGATAGGTAGATATTACTATTGAGTTTTATGAATATGGTAGGTTTTTTTGTTGTTGTTTTTTTTTTAAATAAAATGTGTTACGGTTTTGTATAGCAAATAAAATAAAATTTAAGTTTTTTTGTTATAAAATCTTCAATAGAGATATTTCTAGAGAAAAAATATTTTTTCCAGTTTCAGCAACCTTTTTACGGTTTTTTGAAGATTTTATCATTACTAGGAAAATTTAAAAAAAAAATTTCTGGTAACACTGCACATATTACTTAAAATTTCTTCAAGTAGAAAATTTGTCTACTCTTTAAACACAAATTTGTTTAGAAAAAAATGCGTTTGAAGGGCATAATGAAACTGGCAGTAAGACTCACAAAAAAATGCAACTATCCACATTAACTCTGAACAAGTCCCTTCTGTGAAGTTTATTTGAAATTTAATGCAACTCAGGGCATATAGTCTATTTATCCGCTAAAATATCCAAAGGCACCCAGATTAGTGCAACGCTATGTCTGTACGCTAAAGCCGTAAAATTCTTTCTAAAGAACTGTTAACTCCATATGGCATCGCAACGGCTTTACATACATACATGTATTAGCTTATCTGTGTGGCGAATCTGATTTTAGGCTATTTCAGCCTAACCTAACCCAATCTATTTAACTATGCTTAACAACTCCAGCTCGCGAATATATTTGAGCTGGCCGTCCCGAGTACATGAATGACTCAGATATTTTAAAATAATTTAATTATTTACTTAACAAATTTTTTCTAAGAATATGAGCTTGACTATGCCTCGCGCATTTGCTTTCAGGGCAGCTCCTCAAAAATAAAGAGTAACCAGCTTTGAGCCAAAGTACCCGACTAATTCCAATTAATGCTAGACTTTGCACTCTAGCCTCTACGTAATAAAAGTCATCTGTAATTAGTTGCACAAGAAAAAGACTGCATACAAAAAAGTTGATTTAATCTTAGAGGAGATTTTCCATGTTTCTAAAAGCGCTTCTTTAATTTCATTTAAATTCTTCTAACGACTGTGAGGCGAAACTATGTATGTTCAATGAGTATTATAAGACTTTGTGAGCTGGTTTTATATGGAAAACTTCTCACATACATATGTACATTAGACCGTGCCACCTTACAAGCAAAAAAGTCCGCCGTACACCCTTGAAGAAATTTTTTTTATTCAAAAGTTCATTGACGTCAAGCAGTACTTACGCAAAGCACGCCAAAAATCGTTAAATTTATTTTTTTTGTTTTTTGATTCCAAACCTAGAGATCGCTTTCTTACATTTCTCGTGATATCTTCGAAATTTACAATCGGATCTTAAAGCGTGACATACAGACAACTTTTTTGTTCCAAGATTAGTTGACTTCAAGTACGCCTTCTAGCACTTACACACTACATCTCAGTCCTTGTCGCTAACGTACCACCCTAATGTCAGTAAATTAAAGCTTTGCGCTAAGAGGTGTACGACGAACTTTTTTTCGGTACGGTCTAATGTACATATTCGCAAAAATATAATAGGATATATACGCTTTAATATTCATCTGCCAATACATTATAAGCAGGTGTGCTACGTTTCTTTGCAATAAACCAGCTTTTCCCCATTATACACACGTTCGCCCTTTCGACTTTCGACTAACAAAAACTTTCACGTATCAGGAATTTAAATTTCATAATATGAAATAAATCATAGCTGTCCGTACGCAGAGTCTTTTCTGCAAAGATTAACCACCGCCGCTACAACTTACATACCACCCTCATGTCCGCCTCCTGCATTGACTGAAAGCCAAGATAATGCACAACTTAGGCGCTAAGGCAAAAGCACCCGAACGAAAGCCATCTGCCATTTTTCTGGCATCCTTTGTCTGCCAATGGCGTATGAGCAACATACTTACTACCTACATACCTACCACGAGTACATAGAAGATGCATAAAAGTTTGGCGGAAAAATATTCTCAACATAATAATGATAACTTCGACATGAGCAAAACAAGAAAAAAATGGAAACAAAGTGATGAAGTTAAAGAAACCAACAGCACAACGCCTACTCGACAATAAGAGCGAATAAAAATGTAAAATGAAAATGAAGTTGGTAAGAAGGGGGGCGGCATGACACATATACGTTTTCGGCAACGTCAAATTTACAATGCGGAGAGATGCAAAATGGAAAAGAATATTTTTAAGTTATCACAAAAAGGAAAAAAAAACATTTATTTACAAAGAAGTTGGAGGATGCCGTTAATTCAATTCAAAAACGATTTTTCACTTGTAGTCGCAAATCCAAAGAAAGCTTATTTGAATTTGCGCTCATGTTTTTGGGGTTTTCATCGAGTTCTGTGTGCCTGCAAGTGTGCTGCAGATAAATCAAAAAAATTCCAAACTTGTAGCAGAATATAACAAATTGGCAGCAGTAAAGGAAGGAATACAACAATAACTACAAAAAAGGGATTTGCATGAAATATTACACGCGCTATGCTTATAACGGCTAAAAAAGTGAATTTTCGGAAAAGGGCTAAACGCAAATACGTTGAAACCCTACTTAAGTGTGGAAAATATCGTATTGACGAAATACGGTGTAAGAAAAAAATTTGGCCAGCAGAGGTGGTGATATATAATTGTATATATGTATCAGAAACAAGCTGTTGGTCGTGAGAGGCCGTACACATTTTACTGTACATATGTTTAGTAAAAAGCGAAAGAGGTATTTACATACATATATTTGTATAGAAAACTTGTGGAGTTATAGACGAAATAAAAGGAGATTTTAATGAATAATAACGCTATTGGGAAAAATCCCAAGTTTTGAAATGAAAGAAAAAAAGACACGTAAACTTAGTTTTTGGTCTTAGATTAGGGATCTGTATACCGTTTCTCCAGATCAGGTAATTTTCCCAAGATATTTTAATTTTTATAAAGAAAATCAAACTTTAACAAGGAAAAAAATTTAAAAAATATATTTTTTTTTTTGTAATTTTTTTTATTTTTATTGAACCCTATTCTGTTGCCAAAAAATCAAGCTACTAACGATGAAAATCGGTGGATAAATAATCCAAATTTGAATGGTCAAATGAAAATGTGTAATAATTTCTAGTATGAACAAGTAAGAAAGTCTAAGTTTGGGCGGAGCCGAACATTAAATACCCGGCACAAGTATTAAATATATGTTTTTTTTACCTTTCCGAAAACTACCGCTAGATGGTAAGCCGGGGTGTATAAATTTTGAGTAAATTAGCGTCCTTAAATTTCGAAATATTGAAGTTTCAAGCATTTCTGAAATTTACCGTTATATGAAAAGCGGCCGTAATTTCAGTCCGATTTCCACGTTTTGCTTCTATGTGGCAAGTGCAATAACCACACCGAGTTTAGTAAAAATTGGTAGAACGGTTACCGAGATACATATATGTAATCATAAGTGGGCGGTGCCACGCCCATTTTCCAAAATTTTATCATAAACGTATTTCCTGGTAAAGAATTGTTGCATCCATCAATTTTGAATAAATTAGCTTTAATATTTACTGATTTATCGAAGATTTCGTATTTCTCTAAATTACCGTTATATGGGATGTGGGCGTCGTTATTGTCCGATTTTAAACATTCCATTTCGTATGTTATACCAAGTCCAACAACTGTGCCAAGTTTGTAAGAAATTGGTGCAGCGGTTAACATGATATACACGTGTAACCATAAGTGGGCGTGGCTACGCCCATTTTCCAAGAATTTATAATATTTTTATTTTTCTTATAAAAATCATTGTAAATATAAATTTTTAGTAAATAAGCTTCAGTAGTTAGTAAAATATAGCAGTTTTCGTATTTCTAAAAATTAGCCTTATATGGGAGGTAGTCGTGGTTATTGCCCGATTTCGCCCATTTTCAATACCATCTGTCCTACGCCTGAAAGAAGTACACACACCAAGTTTCGTTAAGATATCTCAATTTTTACTCGAGTTATCGTGTGGACGGACGGACGGACGGACAGACAGTCACCGCTTAATCGATTTCTCTTTTCATTCTGATCATTTATGTATACATTTGTCTATATCTATCTCGATTCGTTTTGCCAGTTACAAACAACCGTTATGTGAACAAAGTTATAATACCCTTGTGCACAACGGCGCTCGGGTATAAAAATGCGTGTGGATTCCTCGTATTCTTCATGTTACCCACATAGCTAGCTCGCCATTTAATATGACCACCTTTGCGCAAAATAACGATCAATTATCTTAATCTTAAGCATAAGCCTAATCTTAATCTTTATCTTTATCTTAATCTTAATCTTAACCTTAATCTCAGTCTCAATCTTAATCTTAAACGTCATCTTAGTCTTAACCTCAACCTCAATCTTAAACTATGTTCACATATCATATATTATCACAATCAAAGCTCGTTTTTTAATCACCCCGTTTACACAGGCAAATCTCAGATTATCAGCCGTCAAATTTG